GTCCGGTAGGAAGGCTGATCCTGGCTCCCGCCGCCAGCCGAACGCGCTGCTGGGGCCCTCGGGAGGCTGTGTGTGGGTTTAAATCGCCCGCTCCCTGAGTTTATCTGGGAACCATGGAAACGCACCCCGTGGTGGCCTCGTTTCCATGGAGGATGGCGCGTCCTCCGAGGCAGTCCCCCTTCTCTCCGGGCCTCCCCTGGCCTTTGGGTGCAGAGTGCCTCCCGTCTTACCTTCTGTCCGTGACACGGTCAGTGGTTCCTTCCCGCCTTCGCGTGAGGATGCAGCTCCGGGGTCCCAGTCAGTCGCCCAGCTCTGCGCAGGATGCGCCCCCCCCACCCCCGCCCAGCAGGCCGATGAGTGAGCACGTCATTCTCGCTGCATTGAGTGGCTTCCCGTTGTAGTTTTATTCTCGTGGGAAAGGCCCTGCCTTCTGGTCCTAGGAACAGGCTTCCCCGGACTTGGAGTGGAGGGGATCGGGAGCGTGTCTGCTCCTCGTGCGGGAGATGATCGGAGCGCCGTGGGCTCCAGGTCGGTGGCAGCCCCGTCCTCGTCCCTCCCACCTGTCCGTGAGCCGTTTGTTAGAGCCTCACGCGGAGGCTGGTCCGTCCTGAGGCGGACAGGTGGCCCCCTGCCTGGGCGGCCAGGCCATGACCCCCAGGCGTGAAGATTAAGTCAGAGAATCTCTAATGTGATTTGGGGGAAAGGGCAAAGGTCAGCTGTCAGCTCCCTGTTAAATGGACAGACAAGAGGAGATTTTAAGAAGCAGTTATCTTAGGAAATGGAGGTTGCTGGAGCCAAAGCGCACCCCGGCCATGTAGGTGGCCACTGACGGGTTCCAGGAAAGGCCTTGCCGGCCTCGGCGTTTCCAGAATGGAGCCTGTCCTCCCAGCCGAGGAGGAGGAGGAGGAGGAGGAGGAGGAGGATGTGAGAGACTCGCCGGCTCCCGCGGCCCCTTCCCAGGCACCCAGGTGGCTGCTTCCTGGGCCGGGTCCCGGGATGGCGTCCTGTCCTGTGTGACCATCCTCGCTGTCACTGGCGTCTGAGGGAGAGCACAGCATTTCCGGGTTCACTGGAGAAGGAGAGGCCCCGGCACCTCAGGCAGCGCCCCTCCCGCGCTGCAGCGCCCGGCACTGACGTCGGGGAGCCAAGCCTTCCGGCCTTTCCGAGGGGGTTGGGTTGGGGTTTGATAGCAAGGTGTGCGGGAGTGTGGCTGTACCCCGATAGAGCAACAGTAAAAGGCAGGTGCTCTTTAGAGCGCTTTCTAATTGCACCTTATTTGATAGGCAGCTGAGACCTCACATTTTACAAACAGCAGTGAGCGCCGGGCCAGGCTGTGAGCGCAGTGACTCGCCTCAGTGCTCAGTGCTCAGTGCTCAGTGCTCCCCGGCTCCTTTCTGTGTGACGGGCGCGGCCTGACTTCGGAGAATGCCGCTCTTTGTGGTGCATTTACGCTTCGCTGTTTCATATCGTAGAATAAAGCCTTTCCTTCTTTCTCCCCTTGGTCCTCTCCTTCTTCTCTCAGCAGCATCATCCAGGTGGTGGAGTGAATCCCCTTCTCTCGCCGGCATAGCACAGACTTTTCCAGAGACTAGATTTAGACTCTTCGTCATGTTCCTTCCCTTTCTTTCTCTGTCAGAAATGAAGATGTTTCCCGTCGTTTGGCCTTGACCTAGTCTGTTCTGCTTGCTCCCCGCAGATGCGTCACAGAAACCCGCGCTTTTCTTCCTTCCACCACGCTGCCTGAGCGGGGGAGGGGGTGTTGCCCTCCCTCCCTCTTCTGGCATCAGATGTGCCCGAGTCTGTGGTGCTCCCCTGGAGGCCTGGCTCTCTCGCAGTTCAGCATAAGCCCTGTCCCTGCGCAGGCAGCTCTCGCGGACCCAGGCCTGTGGCCCCGGGCACTGGGCGCCCCTGGGCACTGGGCCGAGCGGAAGGCGGCCGCGCTCGGAAAAAGGCCAGTGGTGGGTTTCTTTCCCTCTCAGCTGTGGTTCTGTGTTCCCAGCTCCCGTGAGAGCTGTGCTCAGAACTCCCTCCTCCCGCGGGCCGGCTCTCAGCCCCACTTCGCCCCCAGTAGCTTCCCTGCCCGCGGAGCACTGCCAGGTCTCAGGTCGCCTGCCGGCCTGACCCACTCCCATGGCCTCTTATGCTTCGCCCTCCTGCCTCCTCGGTCATCCTGCTAAGCCAGCCTTAGGTGGAGAACGCTCTGCCTGGTGGGGCGGAAGGAGAGAAAGGGAGCAAGGGCAAGGGGGGAAGGGACAGAAGACGGAAGACAGAAGGCGTTGGTAAGTGAAGGCTTCCTTAGCGAGGCCGTTGGGGTGCCATGTTGGATTGGATTAAAGATACAATCAGGAACCTACCCTCGGCCCTGGCCGCCGTGGCTCGGCTGGTTGAGCATCCATCGTCTGTGCACCAAGTTTGCAGGTTCGATTCCCAGTCAGGGCCCAGGCCTGGGTTGTGGGCTCGATCCCCAGTAGGGGGCCTGCAGGGGGCAGTTAATCGATGGTTCTCTCTCACCATGGACGTTTCTGTCTAGCCCTCTCCCTTCCTCTCTGAAATCAGTAAAACTTTTTTTTTAAGGGGGAGGGCCTGGTGCCCAGAGATCCGGCCTCTGTAATGGAAATATCACGGCGCTGGCGCTGGCGCAGGAATAGACACGGTCCGGTGGGGACTAGGGTGCAGCTGAGGCGGCATCTCAGATCACCGGGCTTTAAAGGGGGCACCTGGTCGCCATTCGGACTTGGATTGGATCTTACGCCAAATGGATGGAAGTCTAAATGCTTACGGAGGGAGCCACACAAGCTCCATGTGAACACAGGGGTGACTTTTTCTCTAACGTTGGCGTAGGAGAGGCTTCTGACTACAGCTCAGAGTCCCGGGCAGCACGCCTTCCGCCCCGCCTCCCGCTGGGAACTCCGCTGGGGCTGTGCCTTCAGCGCCTGACGGTGCACACACGTGATGTACCGCAGCAAAGCGCAGCGACTCAACTGCCCTGCATGGGCGAGCGGGCGAGCAGTGAGGGGTCTCGGGCTGAGTTAGGGGAGTTCCGGATACAGTGTAGCTGACGGAAAGCAAAGCGAGAAGAGTATCCACTACTTTCCATGTGAACAAGAGGGTGGGAGGGATGCGCCATCTGCTCATCCTGCGAATGCAGCCAGGAAAGACCTGCCAGGCGCTGCGGGTCACTGACATGGAGAAGGGGGGCAGTTAATGCGGACGGATGAGGGGTCAGACCGTCCTGCCTTTAGACTCTGTTGATAGTGTCTTTCGACGCACAAAGTCTTTTACGTTTTATGAAGTCCAATACGTCTCTTCCTCTTCGTTCTCTGTGTTTCTGTGCCATCAGGACGCCATTGCAAACCCAGTGCCATGGAGTTCTTATCTTACCCTGGGCTTTCTCTGGGTCTCGCGTTCAGGCTCTCGGTCCGTGAGCTCATTTTTGTCTGGGGAACCCAGTGTCCTGGCATCATTTGTTGAAAAGACTCCTTTCCCATCAGATAGACTGTATGCCCCATCAGAGGTCACATGACCATGGATGCGGCTCTCTGTTCTGTCCCCTTGGTCTGTGTGCCTGTCTTTATGCCAGAACCTCCTGTTTTGATCGCTGTAGGTTTGTGGTAAGTTTGGAAATCAGGAAGTGTGAGTGCTCCAGCTTTGGTCTTCTGTTGGTCTTTTGTGCTCCCTTGAGATTCCAGATTAATTTCAGGATGGATTTTTCTATTTCTGCAAATGAACAAACAAACAAAAAACCGTTACTGGGATTCCTATGGGGGTTGCATTTAAGGATCAGAATTTTATTTTGGAGTAAAAGCTGTTTAGCCTCCCAAATGCATATCAAGATTCCTGCTTTCATTGCTCATTGAGAACTTAACTTCAGCCGTCGTGCTGAGGGACTGAGCCTGTGGAGCCAGCTTTCCGCAGACTGCATCATCTCCCGTCTGGTGGTGCGTGTCTGAGCAGCTCCTGAAATCCCACTTTTTCTGTGGGGTCAGATGGTACAGGTTTCGGTTAGATCCGCATCCGTCACTGGTTCCAGTGGAAGGAGCTACCGTCTGGAAAGGGAGGGGCCGGAAGGCGCCTGTGGTGATGGAGAAGGGGACCTGGTGCTGCGACTTCCCTGCGGTCCCCGCCGCCCCTGGAGGGTCCATCTTGGCGTTGTCAGTGCTTCGGTGGAGCAGGCTCCTGTCGGAGGCCTTCCCTGCTGGCACCGGGCTTATTGCTCAGTCGTCGCTGCGGCTCTCCTGCCCCCTTGGACTCACAGCCGTTCTCTCTTCCAGAATTTGGTGTCCACCTGGCGGAGCTGACCGTGGACCCCCAGGGGGCGCTGGCAATTCGTCAGGTAGGTCCAGCCTGACGGTCCGATTTATAAGGAACTCCCTGTGCTGGTCCTGAAGCTTAGTTGTGGGAAGAGGAAGTGTAAAGCCAGTTCGTAAGTGAGCTGGGGCTTGGTACAGAGGCAGCTGCATCGGTGAATGGACCGGGCCGGGCGTGGAGTGTTCACGTGTGAAAAAAGCCTTTCCTTGCTGTGGACACGGCTGTTCTCTTCACAGCTGGCGTCGGTCATCCTGAAGCAGTACGTGGAGACGCACTGGTGTGCCCACTCGGAGAAGTTCAGGCCTCCAGAAACTACGGAAAGGGTGAGTCTGCCCGGACAGCAGGAGGGTCGGAGGGCGGGGCCGAGGAGTCGGGCGGGTGGCTGGCGCTGTGGACACACTGGATAAGGGGTTAGATGTGCCCGGGTGGCAGACAGACGGCGTCAGGCCTCAGTCTGCAGTGTTTTTCTTCTAAGCTCCAACTTCCCGGAGCTGTTTGAGGAGGAAATAGAGTGATGTTTCTGTTGGGTGCAGAGCTGTGCAGCCGTCCTGGGCCCCTGGGAAGCCCTGAGGCGCCAGCTGTCCCCAGGGCAGGGCTCCCGGCGGCTGTGAGCCGTCTGTGTCTGGCAGATGGTGGCTGCAGGCCTGGGTGCCGAGCACGGCGTGCCCTGCGGCCAGGACGGGGTTTCCGTTTTATTCGTTGTGATTAAGTGAATGTCCGTGGCCGCGTGGAGCCGGACTGCGGTGCTGGCTGCCTGGGTGTGGGGAGTAGGGAGAGAGGACGGGGAGTGGGGAGGGGACGGGGCAGGGAGGGGAGTGTGAGTGGGAGTGGACTGTTGGTCAGGGTCACACTCCGAGGAACTAGAGACGGTTAGTGTCTCGCGTGCAGAGTCTGGCTAACACGGAAGCTGGTGGGACGCTGCTGACCACGCGCAGCCTGGTCTGAGGGCGGGTGGCTTCCTCCGCAGGCCAAGATCTTCATCCGGGAGCTGCTGCCCAGCGGGCTGAGGGAGTCCATCAGCAAGGTGCGCTCCAGCGTGGCCTACGCGGTGTCAGCCATCGCCCACTGGGACTGGCCCGAAGCGTGGCCCCAGCTCTTCAACCTGCTCATGGAGATGCTGGTGAGCGGGGACCTGAACGCCGTCCACGGAGCCATGCGCGTGCTGACAGGTGAGGAGCCCTCGCTGGCGTGGACCCTGCTCCCGTGGCCGGGCCGTCGTCCTCACCGGACGCTGTGGTGGGGGCCCTGGGCAGCAGGACGTGGCCTGTGTGACGCCCGCCGGGCTACGGCCCCTCCCGCCCTGTCTGCTCTCTGCAGGGAATTCACTTGGTGTAGCATCTGCTGCTCGAACCCTCACGCTCAAGGCCAGGCTGCAGCGGGTGGTTAAGCACTTGATTCAGATCATGTTCTGGCTTTACCTCGGGTCTGGGCTCCGTGTGTGTAAAACTAAGATACCGGACCTGCCTCAGTGGCGTTTCGAGTCACTTAACTGAGCTCATCTCTGTAAAGCATTCAGTTCAATCACGGGTGGTGAGCCCTCGTCAGCTCAGCCGTCATGGTTGTCAGCATCTTCCTTGTGGAGTGTTTTGTCGTAGTTCAACCAGGACAGAGGGAAGAGCAGTCCAGCAGAACGAAATGCTTGCACTCGTAGTCCAGGGAGCGGTGGGGGTCTCCCTCCTGAGCCTGAGGGGTGCTCGCTCTCTGCGTGGGGTTTGGATGTTAAAGGGAGAGGCACGGCCCACACTCCCCTCACCTTCGGGTCTCATTCGGACAGGCGGTTGCGTTGGGCACATTGCCTGTGCCGTGGGCAGCAGGCTCGCGCTTCTAGGTCAGTAGGTGCCATTTTCCTGGGAGAGGGGCGTGGAGAACGGAGGTGGAGCCTTGTGAGCTCATATGTGCGTCAGAACAGCTCGCCGGGGAGTGTGGGGACTGGGACCGAAGGGGAGACACCTTGACGTGCACCGGAATGTTGGCACGTGGCCGCAGACCAGGTTCACACGGTTCCCCGACGGCGGCCTCACCAGCTCCACCCACTTCTGTCAGACCTTCCTTGGGGCCTAGTGAAGGTTTCTTTCCTGATCTCGTGTCGCCGCCTCTGTCTCTGACTTGTTCCCTTTCCTTTCCTACCAAGTAGTGAGTAGCTCCTTCCTCCCAGACAGGCCAGCAGGCCGGTGTCGGTGCCTGTTCCTCCGGCCGGGGAGCTGCCGCTGGAGGCAGTGTGGCGTTTCCCACGCACTGTCTGTACCACGCAGACTGGACCCCTTGTTTCCTTGTAGAATTCACGCGGGAAGTCACGGACACACAGATGCCCCTCGTCGCCCCCGTCATCCTCCCCGAGATGTTCAAGATCTTCACCATGGCCGAGGTACGAGGTCCCCCCGAGGCCCCAGAGCCAGGCCGCAGGCCGCACAGCCTCCCCTCCCGGTGGGAGCCCGTGTTTGCTGCCCATCCCCACCTTGAAGGTAGAGTGACCGCGATCCTTATCCAGACCGCTCACCTTGATAAAGACTCCTGCACCCTGTGGCCCGAAGTCCCGGGCTGACCGCCCCTCCCGAGCTCGCTTCCGCTGGGCACTGAGGGCAGCTGTTACCGCGGTGCTCACAAAGGAGTTCATGTCCCACACGTAGACATCTAACAAGTGTGAACGGAGCTCGTCCAGTCACGCAGCAGCCTGGGGGGGCGCTGCCCCCGCCTCCTGCTCTGTCCCCGCCGAGGGCCTGCACGCTGTGCGCACACATCCGCGTGCTGGGTGTGCAGCCAGTGCCAGGCCCCGTGTCCCAGCAGATCGCCCGCGAGGGCCGGGAGCATGAAGGCCCATTCCAGCGAGTCCCAGCTGTTGCTGCCTTGTGTTCCCTGAGTGGCAGGATCCGTCCCGGGGAGCCCCGTCACGTCGGGATTGAGGGGTTGCAGGCGCACGGGCCCCGTCCCACGGCGTCACAGCTGTCTGCCTTTCCCAGGTGTACGGCATCCGGACCCGCTCCCGAGCTGTGGAGATTTTCACCACGTGTGCCCACATGATCTGCAACATGGAGGAGCTGGAAAAGGTACGGGAGCCTGGGCTCACGGCAGGGCGCCCCGTTGTGGGCAGCGTGCTCTGCAGGCGGCATACCACGGGGAGCGGGGACACTGGACGCCGGGCAGTTGTCAGGTGTGGGTGGCTCAGTGTCCTGTGTGAGCCTTATTTCTTCCAACACCTGGTCCTGCTCCTGCTCACCGAGGCCCAGAGCGCACTGGTGTGTCACGGCCTCAGGTGGGAGCCTCGCTGGGAACGCCGATCCTGGGTTCAGAGGCGGCTCGGAGAGCGGGTCTGGGGTAGCGGCTTCGAGGAGGCCAGCGCGGGGAGGAGCCCACCAGGGACTTAGCCATGGATCGGCCGGAGCCTGAGGATCTCAGAGCCTCGCAGGCGGTGGACGGGCCGGCCCCGATGGGCCGCGTCGCTGCTGACGTCGCTGACGTCGCTGTCTGGCCTCAGGGTGCAGCCAAAGTCCTCATCGTCCCTGTGGTGCAGCAGTTCACCGAGGCCTTCGTGCAGGCCCTGCAGATCCCCGACGGGCCCACGTCCGACAGCGGCTTTAAGATGGAAGTCCTCAAGGTGGGCAGCGGCGCCGGGGAGCCCGGGGCTTGAGGGCGCCTGCCCCTGACCTCTGCTGTGGTCTCCCTGGCACAGGCGGTGACCGCCCTGGTGAAGAACTTCCCCAAGCACATGGTGTCCTCCATGCAGCAGATCCTGCCCATCGTCTGGAACACCCTGACCGAGAGCGCGGCCTTATATCCTTCCGGGCTGGGCGGGGCCGGGTGGCGGCTCCCCAGGTCCCCGCTCTAGTGCTGGCGCCCACCCTCCCCGTCGAGCGTGTGTGGCGCCGATTGTTCTCCTTTACTCCCCGTCATACTTACGTGAGGACAGAGGTCAACTACACGGAGGAGGTGGAAGACCCTGTGGACTCGGATGGTGCGTGGTGTGGCTGCCGCAGGGAAAGCGGCCACGGGAGGCTCGCTCCTCAGCGAGTTTCTGGTCGGGTTTCCCTTCGCTGTGCTGGGTGGGAGCAGGGCGCGGGCCCGAGTCTCCCGGTCACGGGCCTGGACTTGGACACGGTGCTCCCAGGCCCGCCAGCCCGGCCGCTCCGGCATTCTGTCTGTCCGGGCTGGGCCCCGGGGGCTGACACTTCCTTCTGCTGCAATAGTTTTAAGTATTTCAGGTGAGAACACACCTGCTGGGAAATAGCCTACTGTCCCCGGCCGTTCCCCGGGGAGCAGTATTCCAAGTGACGTGAATAGTGTCAGGGTCACAGATCACGTTGTTCATTCCCGGCTGCGTCCTGTCCTTCACGCTCCTGTCTCTCAGTTGTCTCTGCACTTCCTGCAGGCGAAGTCCTGGGCTTTGAAAACCTCGTCTTCAGCATTTTCGAGTTTGTCCACGCGCTGCTGGAGAACAGCAAGTTCAAAAGCACGGTCCGAAAAGCCCTGCCGGAGCTCATCTACTACGTCCTGCTGTACATGCAGATCACCGAGGAGCAGGTGAGCGCCAGGAGCCGGGATCGCGGCCGCGGTGCTTCTGAAACAGACACGAGGGGAGTTCCTCCTGCCTGCGGCGTGCTGGGAAGCTGCAGCACCGCGGCCTGGCCACGGGGCCTGGGCCCTGCAGGACCCGACCCAGCCCTCGCCCGGAAGGACCCCCTTCTCTGTAAACAGAGATGGGGTCACCATTAGACAAAAGAGCACTTAGGACACAAGCACATGACTCATGTCAGCCACCAGCATCGACATCACCTCACAGGAAACCCCGTCAGGTCAGGTCTCTTCTGAGCGAGGAGCAGGGCCCTGCCCGTGCGGCCCGGTGGGGGCACTGTCCTACGCACCGCGAGGCCACGGCTCCATTCCCATCGGCCACCGGTCAGGGCTGCAGGTTCGGGCCTGGTTAGGGCACGTAGGTGAGGCAACCAATCGATACTCCCTCCCTCATCAGTTTTTCTCTGTCCCCGTAAAACCAGTGACCATCCTCAGGGAGGATTTTTTAAAGTATATTTTTAATATATTTTATTGATGTCAGAGAGGAAGGGAGAGGGAGAGGGAGATAGAAACATCAGCGATGAGATAATCACCGATCGCTGCCTCCTGCACACCCCCTACTGGGGATCGAGCCCGAAACCCAGGCCTGTGCCCTTGGCGGGAATCGAACCTGGGACCCTTCAGTTCCCAGGCCAACGCTCTATCCATTGAGCCACACCGGTTAGGGCAAGATGGGAAGTTTGTGTCAAAGGAAAGGTGGGAGGGAGACGTTTTTATCCTTTTGAATTTTG